TATTTCAATTAATGGACAGTTTTTGTTTTTTCTTGAGACAGAGTCTCACTCTGCTGCTCAGGCTGGAGTGCAGTGGCGCGATCTCGGCTCACTGCAACCTTTGTCTCCCAGGTTCAAGCGATTCTCCTGCTTCAGCCTGCCAAGTAGCTGGGATTACACCACCACACCCGGCTAATTTTTTACCATGTTGACCAGGCTGGTTTCGATATCCTGACCTTGTGATCCACCTGCCTCGGCCTCCCAAAGTGCTGAGATTACAGGCGCGAGCCACTGCTCCCGGCCATGGCCAACATTTTTAAATTAGGAAATTTCTCACACACACTCCTAGACTTCCAATATCTTAAAAAATCAGAAGATCTGGGCAGCCAGGGCCCACATACTTGCATGACGTAATTAGCAGGGGTCGAGTAGCAGCTCCTTCCTTCACACTCGGAGTCCCCAGTCCCCACTAATCTCCATTGTCTCCCTGACACTGAGTCAAAGTATAAGTTATCATTTATCATCTAGTTTTCTTCACTCATTATGCTTAACTGCCTGGTCTCTTGTAACTGAGCTTTTGAATCCAGACATAGGTGAAGGAGACTAGTAAGGGCATTACAAATAGGAGAGTCATGACCAAAGGTACAGAATAGAAGCAGCATAGCATATGGGAAGGGAATGGAGAACATCAAAGCATAGATTTGTTCTTAGGTGAACAGTACATAACACATGGCTATTATGGGTTGAACCGTGTCCCTCAAAAAAGCTATGTTGACTGGAGCAGGGCGTCTCAAATTTTAGCATCCATAAAAATCACCTGGAGTTTGTTAAACACAAATTGCTGGACCCTACCCTGAGGTACTCCGACTCAGAGGTCTGGGATAGTGCTTGAAAATCACATTTTTACCAAGATTCTGGGTGATACCGATGTTGCTGGTGTGTAGAACATGTTTTATTTTATTTCATTTAATTTTATTATTATTATTTGAGATAGGGTCTTGCTCTGTCACCCAGGCTACAGAGCAGAGGTGAGATCATGGCTCACCGCAGCCTTGACCTCCCAGGCTCAAGTGATCCTGCCATCTCAGACTCCCCAGCCAATACATGCCACTACATCTGGCTAATTTTTTGTTTTTAAGAGACAAGGTCTCACTATGTTGCCCAAGGTGGTCTCAAACACCTGGGCTCAAGTGATGCTCCTACCTTGGCCTCCCAGTACTGAAATTACAGGTGTGAGCCACCATGCTTAGCTAGGTCACATTTTAGGTAGCACTAATCTATTGTATGTCTGTCTTTAAAAATCTAGATTACAAGCCCCGTGAGGGCAGGGATTATCTTGTTCACCAGAGTATCCAAGGGCCCGGAACAGTGTCTGGACGTTGTAGGTATCTTAATCTGTTCAGGCTGCTATAAGTATACCATAGACTAAGTGGTTTATAAACCAAAGAAATTTGTTTCTCACAGTTCTGCAGGATGAGGAACTGAAGATCAAGGTACCAGCAGATTTTATGTTTGGTTGAGGGCTTGGTTCATAGAAGGCCATCTTTTTATTGTGTCTTCACATGGCAGACAGGGCAGGGAGCTCTCTAGGCCTCTTTTATAAGGGCATTAATCCCATTCATGAGGGCTCTCCCACCTGCCAAAGGCTCCACCTCCTAATAACATCACATCTCAGATTAGGCTTCAACATATAAATTTTCAGGGGATAACAAACATTCAGTCAACACCAGTAAATTCATGATATCTATTTGTTAAATGAAAACTGGTCATATGGATAGAAATAGATAATAAGAGGGCCAGGCATGGCAGCTTACGCCCATAATCCCAATCTTTTGGGAGGCCAAGGCAGGCAGATCACCTGAGGTCAGAAGTTTGAGACAGCCTAGCCAACATGGTAAAACCCCGTCTCTACTAAAAATACAACAATTAGCCAGGCGTGGTGGTCAACGCCTGTAATCCCCGCCACTCAGTAGGCTGAGGCAGAAGAATCACTTGAACCTGGGAGGCAGAACTTGCAGCGAGTTAAGATGGTGCAATTGTACTCCAGCCTGGGCCACAAAGCGAGATTCTGTCTCAAAAAAAAAAAAAAAAAAAAACATGAACAGAAAAGATTTTCAGGGATATTTAGTCAAATGAAAGAGAGAAGAGTGCTAACCTACTCTTCATTTATTCAACATTTTTTTTTTTTTTTTCAGTAATTGAGCACCAGAACACTCTTTTAGTTTTTTCTGTGACACAGCCTCAGGAGGTCCTAAGATGTGTTCCCAGAACAATCTTTTAAAAAGATGATTCTGATTATGTCAGATTATGCTTTAACCCCTTCAGTGGCCCTTTGCATTCATGAAAAAGTTTTAACCCCCTGGCCTGGTTGACAGGGAAGTCCATAATTAGACCATTACTGCACCAGCTTTCTCTTTTGCAGTCTTGAACTCTGGGCTTCAGTTACGTGGAACACTCATAAGTTCATCATAGGTTCTCTCACCTCCTGGCCTTTGTATATGCTGTAACCCCAGTCTGAAAAGTCCATTTTCTTTTAGTCCATTTATTTCCAATTGCCTTTTAGGCCTCAGCTTAGAAGCTACCTCCTTTAGGAAATTTCCATGCTTACCCCATTCCTATGAGGTTCCACAGCACCCTGTGCTTACCCTTACTGAGCACTTAACCCATTTAATTGGCATTGTCTGTAATTGCCACCACAGACTCTTCAAGGACAGAGACTGTCATCCTCATTATGGTATTTTAACCACCTAGTATAATTGCTGACTCATAGTAGGGACTCAGTTAAAGAATTAAATACTAGAGAATGGAAGAGCGGAACTACAGTAAACAAAAAGAATCATTGAAAGGATAGGATAATGTGAGGTGATTTTCACCTCATGGTCTCACATTTTAAAATTAGAGGCAAGACCATCTACTGAGACCAAGTTTATATGAGAAGTCATAGAGATTTAAAGAGAGAAGAGAAGGTATGAGTATCTGTTATTAACTTTCTATTGGGTGGTTACTGAGCAGCAATTTCTGTTTCAGAAATTCAAGATGCTGCAGGATGTGGCTGTGAATGAATCACAAAAGGATGCTGGGCTCCAGACCTATACTCAGTGGGATCGCTACAAGGAAGAGACACTAGATAAGGAGGCAGAGCTGGCCTCACTGGGTAAGGGCACTGAACTCTAACTTAGAATCCATATACTCTGAGTTCTCTGAGTTTTGGTTGAAAAAACAAAAAACTATTTCTTCTATACCTCAAAGATATCCAAACATAAAAAAAAAAACAAAAAAACTAGAGAAGTTTTCCAAGAACTCAGTTGACTTAGAGATTCCCAATTGCTTTGACTTTTGGAGACAAGATGTTTTTGCTCTTTGTTGAAAGATATTTAGCCCAATATGTGTGACATGGTAAAAGCCCCATAAAACTGCATAGCTCAACCATACCTTGGCTTTCTATTGAAACTGCTCTCTGTGACCCTAATGTGAGAGGCAAGCCCAAGTCCAAATCCATGCCATCTTGGCTCCTGCGACTTGTAATAAGTAACTAAGGTCTGTAATCCCCACCACTACCCAGACAATGTGTAAACTAACATTTATCTTGACTTCTATAAACCACTTAAGTAACAATCGGAGTGACAAAAGTCCCCTGGCCCTTGGAATTCCCGGAGCCCCTCACCCTCATCTCCACCCAGGAGGTGGTTTACAGAATCCACTAGCCCTCAGAATGTCTGAAACCCCTCATCCCTATCCCCGCTCCTCACCCCCTGAGGTGGTTTTAGGGGTATAAAAGGTCTTGACACCCTCCTTTCGGGGCCACGGGTTGGAGAGATACAAGTCCTCCATGGCCGCCGGCAATAAAGACCCTGCAATTTGGAATACTTTTGTCTTGGTGTTGACCTTCTGTGCTCGGTTCAGTACAACATCTGTATAACTGGAAAATGACACCTCCCTGACCCACCCTGAGCTTGCACTATCTCTGCCTTTCTAGTCCTATTAGAAACCAAGAGATGACCAAAACTAACTAAACTCATCTTCAAACCTTCAAAGGTACTCTTCTGGCTGGATGCGGTGGCTCACGCCTATAATCCCAGCACTTTGGGAAGATGAGGCAGGCAGATCACTTGAGGTCAGGCATTCCAGACCAGCCTAGCCAACATGGTAAAACTCTGTCTCTACCAAAAATACAAAAATTAGCTGGCTCTGGTGGTCAGCACCTGTAATCCCAGCTACTCGGGAGGCTGAGGCAGGAGAATCACTTGAACCTGGAAGGCAGAGGTTGCAGTGAGCTGAGACTGTGCCACTGAACTCCAGCCTGGGCAACAGAGTGAGGCTCCATCTCAAAAAACAAACAACAACAAAAAAAAAACCCTACTCTTCTACCTCTGACCCTGTCTTCATTAACAGGACCATATCCCACCATTGCCTAAGTCAGAAAACTGACCCCTCTTTCCCTCACAGGCAGTTACCATATTCTGTTAATTCTAGGTTCTCCCGTAGCAGACAGTGCTAACCTCATTGATAGCACTAGTCACAGTATGTTACTCTCCACTTATACATATATCTCCCCTCCATTAAACTGTAAGTTTCTGGAGGGCTGGGACTATATCTTACTTTCATCTTTGTATTCCCAATATCTAGTACAATGTCTGGAACAAGGTAGGTGCTCAGTTAATGACTGTTAGATGAAAAAAATCAATGAATGAGCCAGGCGCAGTGGTTCACACATGTAATCCCAGCACTTTGGGAGGCCAAGGCAGGTGGATCACAATGTCAGGAGTTCAAGACCAGGCTGACCAACATAGCGAAACCCTGTCTCTACTAAAAATACAAGAAAAAAAAAATTAGCCAGGCATGGTAGCAGGCAACTGTAATCCTAGCTACTCGAGAGACTGGGGCAGGGAGAATTGCTTGAATCCAGGAGGTGGAGGATGCAGTGAGCCAAAATTGCACCACTCTATTCCAGCCTGCACAACAGAGCGAGATTCTGTCTCAAAAAAAAAAAAAAAAAAAAAAGGGGGCCGGGGGGGGGGGCCAAGGCCTGAAATCCCAGCACTTTGGGAGGCCAAGGCAGGTGGATCACAATGTCAGGAGTTCAAGACCAGGCTGACCAACATAGCGAAACCCTGTCTCTACTAAAAATACAAGAAAAAAAAAATTAGCCAGGCATGGTAGCAGGCAACTGTAATCCTAGCTACTCGAGAGACTGAGGCAGAAGAATAACTTCAACCAGGCAGGCAGAGGTTGCAGTGAGCTGAGATCGCACCACTGCACTCCAGCCTGGGCAACTGAGCAAGACTTTATCTCAAAAAAAAAAAAAAAAAAATCAGTGAATGAGATGAAACACTGCAGCCCTTTTCCCAGAAACTGAGTTCAGCTGGGTTATATTATAAAGGAGGCCTCTCCTCTGATCTGGCCTATGTTTCAGATGCTGAACCCTTCTGCTCTTGACTTCTTTTGAGAGGAGGATTTCCTTAAAGAAATAAATCCTTTTCATCTATGGAATGAGAGGAAAAATTTGAGAAGTGTATTAGAAAAACATATTGTATTAGAAAAAAAATTTGCCAAGAAATAAGACTGGAAGAATATATACCAATACAACAAAACATTAGCAGTAATTATCTTTGGGTGGTGGAAAATGGGTGATTATTATTTTCTGTGCTTTACTCTCTTGTTAATTTTTCTTATAGTAAGCATGCAGAATTTTTGTGATCAATAAAATGTGTTATGGAAAAAGTGTTTCTCTGAAATTTTAAAAGATCCCCCCTCTAAAATTAAGGAAAAAAAGATTACAAAAGACATTAAGAATTTGGAGTCATTTTTAAAATTATGTAAAATATTTATTAAATGTCCCCTGTTTAATTTAATATTTCTACTTTAGATAGTATCCATTGATTCCATCGTGAAAGACAGGTAAATTAGCACAATTTATATTGATTCCCACTACGATTTATGCTTACTATTCCTCACAGCCCAATTTTTCTAATATAATTATTTTTAGATTGTCATGGTTTAAAGCATTTACTTTCTCTTCTACAACCATAACTCCTAGTTAATCTTACTTCTACATTTAAATTGTTTCAGTGCTTACCATCTGTAATACTGTGAAATAAATAGTTGGTCTTTGTCACCATTTCCTGGTGTCATTAAAATCTTTAAAATCTTAAAATATTTAAAGTCTCCAAAGTAATATCTTTTTATATGCTAATGAATTAACTGCTGTGGGAAAGGAGTAGATAGCTTGTGGATTAGAGTTGCAATTTTCAGCCCCACACCCAAACTTTGGGGAGGAGAGAAGGACTGAAAGTTACATTGATCACCATTGGCTGATGGTTTAATCAGTTATGCCTACTTAATGAAGCCTCCATTAAAACCCCAAAGGATGGAGTTTGGAGCGCTTCCAGATAGCTTGACATATGGAGGTTCCTGGACAATGGTGTGCCCAGAGAGGGCATGGAAGCTGTCTGCTCCTCCTCCTCCTACTTGCTTTGCCTTATGCATCTCTTCATCTGTATCTTTTGTAATATCCTTTATAATAAACTGGTAAATGTAAGAACATGTTTCCCTGAGTTCAGTGGCAGAGTTTGCCACTCTAGTAAATAATTTAACCCAAGAAGGGAGCTTGGGATCCCTGATTTTATAGCTGGTTGGTCAGAAGCACAGGTAAAACAACCTGGGACTTGTGATTGGCATCAGAAGTGTGGTGCAGTCTGGTGAATTGAGTCCTCAACCTGTGGGATCTGACCCCATCTCCAGGTAGATAGTGTCCAAATTGAACTGAATTAGAGAACACTTAGCTGGTGTTGCTGCAGAATTGATTGCTTGCTTGGTGTTTGTAGGAAAACCCCAGAACATTTGGTCAGAGAGTATGGTGGCTCTGTAACCACCCACTGGATTCACCTTGCCCACTGCCTAGATAGAGCCGATTTATCAAGACACGGGAATTTATCAAGACAGGGGAATTGCAAAGGAGAAAGAGTAATTCACACAGAGTTGGCTACGTGGAAGACTGGAGGTTTATTATTTCTCCCCAAGCATTCAGGGCTCTGAGTTTTTAAGGATAATGTGCCTCATATGGGCTCGGAAAGTGGGGAGTGCTGATTGGTCGGGTTAAAGATGAAATCATAGGGGGCTGAAGTGAGTTCTGCTTGCTAATTTACATTCCTGGGTGGGATTACAGAACTGGTTGGGCCAGATTATCTGTCTGGGTGGTGTCATTTGCTGCATCTGGATGCAGGGTCTGCAAAATATCTCAAGCACTAATCTTAGGTTTTGTAATGGTGATGTTATTCCCAGGAGCAATTTGGGGAGGTTCAAACTCTTCCAGCCAGAGGCCATATGGTTCCTAAATCATAATTTCTCATCTGGTAGCTAATTCGTTAGTCTTACAAAGGCAGACTGGTCCCCAGACAAGAAGGGGTTTTTTAGGAAAGAGCTATTATCAATTTTGTTTCAGAGTTTAATCTATGAAACTAAATTCCTTCCCAGGGCTAGTTTGACCTACCATACCAAGAATGAACAAGGACAGTTTAGAGGTTAGAAGGAAGATGAGGTTGGTTAGGTCTGATCCCTTTCACTGTCATAATTTCCTCAATTATAATTTTGTAAAGGCAGTTTCAGATCTTGCCTGTAATCCCAACGAATCAGGATGCTGAGGCAAGAGGATGACGTGAGGCCAGGAATTCAAGGCTGCAATGAGCTATGATGGCACCACTGCACTCCAGCCAGGGTGACAGTAAGACCCCATTCCTAAAAATAAAAATAATTAAAATAAACATTTGGTTACAGAAATCTTCTGTGTTGATTAATTGTGGTGTAAGGACAGAAGGAAAACTGTCTTTTTTTTTTTTTTTCATTAGACCATTCATTTTTTTACAATGCCCTCTTAATTCCTATTTATTTTAATTCGCTTCTTTATTGGCTATATCTCATTGCAATAGTTATTTTCAAACAGGGCTTATAAGTGTCATACTCCCCGAGTTTTTACATAACTGGAAATGTTTGCTTATTGCTTTTAATGTGAGATAACACTTTGCTGGGTAAAAAAATTACTGGCTCACACTTTGTTTCTCCTTGGATTTATATAGGCATTATTAATTCTGGTGTGGAGTGTAACTGTGGGGAAGGGCAAAGTCAACCTGGAATTCTGCCTTGCACATGACTTCCTTTTCTGCCTAGGTGCCCATTTAGTCATTTATTCCTGAAATTTAGTTACCTCACCAGGACATGTCTCAGTTTTGACTGTTCCATCTACTTTTTATGAGCCACAGTGTACCCTTCCAATAGATTTAAGT